AAATCCTGTACTTGGCCAATGGAGGGTCTGCTGAGCATGTGCGTTCAAGCTGAAAATAGATGGTAGTTGCATTATAGCCCTACTTAGGGACAGCCTTGAAGGACAATGGTAAAGAAAAATCTCCATGGGCAGAGCTCCAGGATGTGCACTTGGTCTCTCCTTTTCCTGCACAGAGAGGCATCTCAAGCACAGAATATGTATGTACTGAGGGGCAACGAGGAATGGCCTATTTGGCTAGCCAGGGCCCTGGAAGAAGAAAGGTGGAATGGGGGACAGGGAAGTCTGGGTAGGGGCATGAGGATGGATGTCTGGAGTGGGCATACAGTATGAAGATGTTTGTATAACATGTTAACACTCACCAGAAACCATCCACCACTGAAGAGCCACCATGTAACTACGAGGACAAAAACGTCTGCACCAGTTGACCTTAGTCGGCCTTTGTCATCAGCCACCTAGTGCTGGTACTAAGGGCATAGGCATGAAAGGACCACAGTGGCAGAGAGAGAGGTGGTAGGAGCCTAATAGCATGGGCTCCCACTTATGAAGGCTGATTGAGCTACTGCTGCTGAACGAGTCCCCAATATGACACCCTCCGGGAGACCAGCTGGCCCCATGGTGCAAATTGACCACATGGAACCCCTTCTATCTGGGAAAAGGCAAGATTCATCATCCTAACTACATGGAATCACTTTCATCCGGAAAAAGTCAAGACTCACATTTATTTACTTATTTGTGAGACGGAGTCTCACTCTGTCACCCAGGCTGGAGTTGAGTGGTGCAATCTCAGCTCACTGCAACCTCCACCTCCCAGGTTCAATCGATTCTCCTGCCTCAGCCACCTGAGTAGCTGAGATTACAAGGTGTCCACCACCACGCTCCACTAATTTTTGTATTTTTAGTAGAGACGAGGGTTTCACCATGTTGGTCAGGCTAGTCTAAAACTCCTGACCTCAGGTGATCTGCCTGCTGCGGCCTCCCAAAGTGCTGGGATTACAGGCATGAGCCACTGTGCCCAGCCTATGTGTGTCAAGAAAACACATATATTCTGGGTACTGTTTAGCTTTCCTGTCCTCAAGACCTTAGTCAGCACCATTATCTATCTGAGGGCTTATCCAGTATCTGATTCACTGTCACAGGATCCCGCATAACATCACATCAGACCAGGGACCCAATTTACTGCAGTGGAGGTGCAGAAATGAGTTCGTGATCACAGGATTCCCTAAGCAATTCACAGTCTGCATCATCCAGATACTGCCATCCTGATAGAATATCAGAATGGCTGCTGAAGGCAGCACTTGATAAGGGTGGGGTTCATCCTCCAGGATACTCCTTGAATACAGTGCTGGGACTTGTAGGGCTAGAGGTCTTTGCCCCAAAGGAGGAATCTTTCACCAGAGGACACAGCAAGAGTCCCATTGAGCTATAAGCCACAGTTGTCACCTGGGCACTTTGGGCACCTTGTATGCAGGGACCAGAAGACCAGAAGGGGAGTCATCTTGGCTAAGAGTTGATCCACTTGGGTGCCTCTGACTACTCCATTGCCCAATTGTGACAATAAACAGGCAGTGCGGCAACCGTGGCTTGAGAAGGGCATGCTGGTCAGGGGTTCAGATCCTCAGTCCACGAGGCAGGGTGGAGGCATTAGCCATGCAGACCAGGGGAGGTGCTAGCTGGGGGGAGGGGGGATTTAGAATGGATGCTGAGGTGACCCCCAGAGAGTCACAGCAGCTGGGGCTGTAGTTTGTCCCGGGGACTTTCCTCTTCTAAGTTTCTAGCAGGAATCCTGGAGGAGCTGCTCCTGAAGGTGTTGCTCCAAATCTGCTGGCGTCATCTTCAAGGGTCGACTGTGGCAGTCCTTGAATCCTCCTTCCTCTACCCTCTCTTTTCTGCCCTTTCTTCTTTGGACAAATATTTATTTTCTTTTTCTTTTTTATTTGGAGATGGAGTCTTGCTCTGTCACCCAGGCTGGGGCGCAGTGGCACAATCTCGGCTCACTGCAAACTCTGCCTCCCAGGTTCAGGCGATTCTCATGCCTCAGCTGCTTGAGTAGGTGATCTTACAGGAACATGCACCACACCTGGCTAATTTTTGTATTTTAGTAGAGATGGGGTCTCGCCGTGTTGGCCAGGCTAGTCTCAAACTCCTGACCTCAAGTGATCCACCTGCTTTGGCCTCCCAAAGTGCCAGGATTAGAGGTGTGAGCCACTGCGCCTAGCCCATTGGACAAATATTTCTACAAATGCTCCATGAACATCTGCAAATAAGAACCCAATAATAGGCTGGGCATGGTGCCTCATGCCTGGAATCCCAGCGTTTTGGGAGGACAAGGCAGGTGGATCACCTGAGGTCAGGAGTTTGAGACCAGCCTGATTAACACGGTGAAACCCCGTCTCCACTAAAAATACAAAAATTAGCTGGGTGTGGTGGTGGCCACCTGTAATCCCAGCTACTTGGCAGGCTGAGGCAGGAGAATCGATTGAACCTGGGAGGTGGAGGTTGCAGTGACCTGAGATCGCGCCACTATCCTCCAGCCTGAGCTGCAGACTGAGACTCTGTCTCAAAAACAAAATAAATAAATAAATTAAATAAAAATAAGTAAATAAAAAGAAACCATGGGTCCTGCCACCAAAGCAGCTCATAACGGAGTGGGGAAATCACATACCTCTAGGGAAAACCCGCTAATAGAAATTTCTCAGCACATGCATTTCTCTGGTACATAACCTGCATGTGTCTGTAGAACCCTGATATCCCTTCATCCCAAAGCCTGAGAGGGTGTTTCATGTGTGATCAAAACAGGTCTGGTCAGGTGTCACAACTTTGCCCATTTTCAGCCTCTCCCTCGGCTCTGACCTGCTCTGCCAGGAATCCCAGGGACACCAAGCCTCTGCTGTGCACAGCTGCTGCTGATTTCCCCCCAACAACTCTCCCCTTTTGTGTTTCGCTTTGTCCTGGGTGAGGAGGCAGGGAAGGAGGTGAGTTTGTATCTCAGGTTTTTACATGGTTTTTAGTAAAATATCCTTTTCCATTTTTACTAAAAGGACCCTTCCCTCTTCCTTCCACTCCCATAGGTCTTAGATTCTAGTTTAGTCGGGGACTGGGTTGGGAGGCAAATGCAGTGAGACATGGAATTCTAAATTGCCCCTCCCACAGGCAGATTTACTGGGGGGCAGGGGTCCACAGCCCCATCTGCCACATGAATTCGGACATTTTTGAAGTGGCTGCTTATGTTTAAGATGGGTCCTCACCTCGCTGTTCACAGAGCTAGAAGAGTGAGGAAGAGGAAAGGATTAATTCATCCTGGAGAATCGAGAAAGCTTACAAAAGAAATGTCACTTGGGCCGGGCATGGTGGCTTTGTGCCTGTAATCCCAGTACTTTGAGAGGCCAAGTCGGGAGGATCACTTGAGGCCAGGAGTTCAAGACCAGACCTGGGTAACAGAATGGGACCCTGTCCCTATAAAAAAAGAAAAAAGAAAAAAATAGCTGGGTATGGTGGCACAGGACTGTAACCCCAGCCACTTGGGAGGCTGAGGCAGGAGGATTGCTTGTTCCCAGGAGCTGGAGACTGTAGTGAGCTGTGATGGCACCACTGCACTCTAGCCTGGGAAACAGAGTGGGACCTTGTCTTAAACAAAACAAAATAAAAGAAGAATTGTCACTTCAGCTGGGTTTTAAAGAGGCTTGTTAGATGGGGAAGGGAATTTCCGACAGAGGGACAACCAAAAAAGCACAGGGCCCTTAGCATGCTTGTTGGTTCAGACAAGACTCTTGCTCCAGGGAATTTTACACTCCAATGCAGGGAGATCGGCAATAGACAAACGAGTGTATCCCTTTGGGAGGTGATAAAAAAAGAAGAAAAATCAAACAAAGTGATAGGGAGTTTGGGAGGGGCCTGGGCGCTATTTCAGGTACAGAGGCCAAGATCAGCCTTTCTGTAAATGCATTTTTTGAGCAGCGACCTGAATGAAGTGAGGACGTAAGCCACGCCTCACGAGTAACAAGGGAAGAGCATTTCAGGCAGAGGGAACAGTCAGAGTGCAAAAGCTCTGAGATGAGCAGGCTTGTGTGCTCAAAAAGGCCTGTGTGTCTGGGGCACGGTGAGAGAAAAGGGTAGTGGGAGGAGAGGGAGCCATCGTAGGGCTATGAGCAGAAGTCATGATCAGTCCAACAGTTTGGAGAAGAGGCTTCTGGAAGCAGGGGTAGAAGAAACATAAAGACCAGCTGGAAGGCTTTGCAATGATCCAGGTGAGAGATGATAGGGTCCTGAGTGAGGGTGGTTCTGGTGGAGGAGTAAAGCATGTTGGAGGAAATTGCTGGATTCTGGTTATCTTTTGAAGGTAGAATCAACGGGATTTGTTGATAGACTAGATAACATTGGAAAGGCATGTTGTTGCTGAATTGGGAATTGAGACAATTCCTGAACATATCACTTCCCTATTTAACAATGTCGTGATGAAGTCCGGACTCATCAGCAGTCATTTATTCATTTGCTGATTCATTCAACACTTACTGATTAAATCCTACTATGGGCCAGGCATTGTGCCAGGTGTTGCAGATAGACACAAAATTTAAAAGCAGGGCATACTTTCTGCCCTTAGAGATCTTACTCAGATGGGTGAGACAGACAAGTACCCAGGCCATTACAACCCATGTGACAACTGCTACCATGGGGAAGGACAGGGGGAAACAGAGGCATATGGGAAAGGTGTCTAGTTGGAGTTAGCATGGCGCCACTCGTATGTCACCCCGAGGTCAGCTCAGTTTTGGGGTTCACTGTAAGAATTGCGGGGCTGGGAGACAGTACAGTCTGAGCTCCGTCATCAGCGGGCTCCGTCTCCGCAGCTCCGCGGCCCGGGCTTCCTCAAGACCCCAAGGGAACAGCCTCACCTTTGCCCCACTTCCCAGTCTAGCGCCTAACTTCCGCCCTCCATTGGCTGCGCGGCCGCCCAATGGGCAGGCGAGAACCGCGGGCTCGGGCTCCAGGCCTAGGGCGTCCGATCTCGTTCGCGCGTCTCGCGAGCGTTAGGTGACTGGAGGAGGCGGCGCCGCTCGGCCGGGCACCGGCTTCTGGGAGGCCGAGCTTGCGGCCGGAGCGGAGACGATGTTCCGAGCGGCGGCTCCGGGGCAGCTCCGGAGGGCGGTGAGTCCGGACGGGGAGGGCGACCCCAGGGACGGTCCCCCCTCAACCTGCCGTCCCTATGGGGTCTTGCAAAGGTCCCCGGCTCCGTGAGACCGGACCAGCCCTCGCGCCGGTCGGCAGGTCGCAGCCTGGGGCTTGTTCCAAAGTTCTGGGGCCTGCCCTGGACTCCTTCCGGGCCGCCAGCTCGGGGCAGAAGTCAGAGGTCGGGGGTCAAGATGACCCCGAATGATGTGAATTTGCGCGTCTGCTGCCAGTCCTCCTGGCCCACTGTCTGCCCTGCCGCTTCCCACCTTTCTCAGTCATTCTGGGCACTTTCGGGCCGCCAGGTCCTCCACATTTGTTCCACACCCGAGGGAACAAAATGTCGCCGGGGAATGCCCTGTTGGGGAAAGTTTAAAACCTGGATTCCTTCCAGAGGCCGACATTTCTGGAAGAAATAAACCCTTTGGGCGCGCTGTGGCTGCTCCGACCCACTCACTTAGGGCCGGGGGGGGGGGGGGGGGGGGGGGGGGGGGTGGGAGGCGGCGTGGCTGGTTATGGAAGCTGGCTCTGCTTTCTGGCGTATGGAACAGGGCTGAGTTTAGGTGATTGCATGTGTAAAACCTGTGGTCCGTTTTGACAGCTTTAGCTAATTTTCAAAGGCAGACGTCTTTTTATATACTGACCTGCTTTTAACCAGCATATTGTAGGTTAAATAGCCAGGTAACTGGTGACAGAGGTACATTTTCGGTGTTTCATTAGTGACAAACCACATTTCTCTCTTCCTTTGTGAGAAGGACTGATAGGAAATATATTTTCGTTCTCAATGCTGTGGGAGAGTAGTATTTGGAGACCAGTCGTAAGTCAAGTAATAATTTATATTGTTGATTTTGTAGTTTTCCTAATTTACATTTAGGTGAAAGGAGAAGCAAGATTGGTAAACTTCGGTCAGAAACTTACCTAATGGTTTGTACCTTTTCTAATTTTTTTTTGGCACATGGATATTTTCTCCATCCACTCCTGTAGACATTGGACTCTTTTTTTTTTTTTTTTTTTTTGAGACAGGGTCTGGCTCTCTTGCCCAGGCTGCAGTGGAGTGCAGTAGCACCGTCTGGGCTCACTGCAACCTTCACCTCCCGGGTTCATGCGGTTCTCCTCAGCTTCCCGAGTAGCAGGGACCTCAGGTGCACATCACCACGCCTGGTTAATTTTTTTTTCCTGTATTTTTTATAAGAGATGGGGTTTTGACATATTGCCTAGGCTGATCTTGAACTCTTGGCCTCAAGTGATCCACCTGCCTTGGCCTCCCAAAGTCCTGGGATTACAGGAGTGAGCTACTGCACCTGGCCTTATACATCTTTTTTTCTTGTGTGTGTTCCTTGTTTGATAAAAAGTCTTGACCCCTGACTTCACCTTCCCCTAAAGAGTTTAAACCCATATGTTTCAGGTTAGTGTCCTGTCTTCCCCTCAGGACATATTCCACCCCCCCCCCCCCCCCCCGCCCCCCCCCCCCCCCCCCCCCCCCCCCCCCGTTAGGGGATCTAGACGTAAACAAGTGAAAGTCATGAATTTGGGGAAATTCCAGGAACCAGAGCCAGACTTACAGAAGAATGCTTCTCTGTGCAACAGTTGGAAAACAATTCTGTGGACAGATTACAAGTCTGGCCTAAGTGAAATTTTACTTGTGGTGGGGGATGGAATTTAGGACTCAGTAATTTTGTAGAGCTAACAGAAAAAAATGGAATGATTAAGTAATTTTTATTATCCACACCATTGGCTAATGTGTATAGACATGATTTCCAAATATTCATTGTGGTTTGCCAAGGACTTTGACCTTGACTTGTTTTTAAAATTTGAAGTCAGGCTAAGTAGAATAGCTGTTTTAAAGTCATTAAGAATGTTTGAGAGATTTGAATTTCTAGCATTAAAGAAATGGTGGCAACACTTCTAAAGTGGACACATATATTAATAGGTACATATACCTGGTATTTCAGCTTTTAAATTTTGAAGCAGTTGCCCTTATAGAAAAGTTGTAAGAATAGTAGGAAAAAATCTCAAAACCCTTTCCCTGGTTTTCCCAGCATGTTAGCAGTTTGCCCCATTTGTTTTATCTTTTTTTTTTTTTTTTTTTGAGAAGGAGTTTCGCTCTTGTTACCCAGGCTGGAGTGCAATGGCGCGATCTCGGCTCACCACAACCTCCACCTCCTGGGCTCAGGCAATTCTCCTGCCTCAGCCTCCTGAGTAGCTGGGATTACAGGCACGCGCCACCACGCCCAGCTAATTTTTTGTATTTTTAGTAGAGACAGGGTTTCACCATGTTGACCAGGATGGTCTCGATCTCTTGACCTCATGATCCACCCGCCTCGGCCTCCCAAAGTGCTGGGATTACAGGCGTGAGCCACCGCACCCGGCCCTTGTCTTTCTACGTATATACATAATACTATCTTTCTGAATCATTTGAAAGTACGTTGCAAATGTGCCCTTTACTCCTAAATAATTCAGTGATATTTTAAAAGAACGAAGAAGTTCACTTTCTAACTGCACTGTAATTGGCAGTATCTGGGAGTTTCACAATAAAATACTGTTTTCTAATCTACGGATGTTCAATTTTGCCAGTTGTCTCATTAGTACTGTTTATAGCAATTTTCCTTATTTTGGCCTAAGACACTCCCGGTGCCCTGCATGTGGTTTTCATGTCTCTTTACTCAGCCTTCCTTTGGGTTTGGTGACATTGGTGTATTTGAAGAGTACAGGCCTTCTATTTTCTTTTTCTTTTTTTTTTTTTTTTTTTTTTTCAGGCCTTCTGTTTTCTAGACTGTCATTCAATTTGGGTTTGTCTGGTGTTTCCTTATGATTAGATTCAGGTCATTTGTTCTTGGGAATAGCACAAAAGTGATACTGTGTTCCCTGTACATCATATTAGGAGGTACTTAATGTTGGTTTATCCCATTAGTGGTAATGCTAACTTTAATTACTTAGCCAAAGTGGTGTTTGCCAGGTTTTTACACTGTCAAGTTAATACTCCTCCTTTTGTAATTTTTAACTAATTTGTGAGGAGATGCATTGAGACTATGTATGTAACTCTCCTATTTTTCATCAGACTTTTTTTTTTTCTTTTTCTGAGACAGAGTCTTGCTCTATCACCCAGGCTGGAATGCAGTGGGCCTATTGGCAACCTCTGTCTCCTGTTTTCAAGCAATGCTCATGTCTCTGCCTTCTGAGTAGCTGGGATTACAGGCATGTGCCACCACACCCAGCTAATTTTTGTATTTTTAGTAGAGACGGGGTTTCACCATGTTAGCCAGGCTGGTCTCGATCTTCTGACCTCTTGATCCACCCGCCTTGGCCTCCCACAGTGCTGGGATTACAGGCGTGAGCCACTGTGCCAGGCCTCTGATCAGACTTTTACCCACTCTTAGCATCTGTTGATTTTTGCCTGATAAATGATTACTATGATGCAAAATAGTGATTTTCTATTTCCATGATACCTTCTACATTTTTTAGTTATTCTGCTATACGGCAGAACATTATTTTCTTGCATATTTATGGATTTATGGATTCTTATTTAGTAGGTTATAATCCATTTCTACCTTATGTTCAAGTTGTCTCGTATTTGTAAAGTGGGAGCCCGTTCAATCTGACTCCTGTTTATTTACATATATATGTTTGCTCTCACAAGGTCAAAATAGTTTATCTCAAATCCCCACTCTTAAAAAAAAAAAAATTGTTCTGTAAGTAACCATTAATGCATATAGGAAGAGGATACATTTCCCAAACCGTATTTTAAAAAATAAAGTTAGGAACTCTAGTTAAAAGATTACCATAAACCGTTAACAATGTGAATATAGTTAACACTACTAAACTATACACTTAAAAATGATTAAGTTGGGGCCAGGCGTGGTGGCTCACACCTGTAATCCCAGCACTTTGGGAGGCTGAGGTAGGTGCGTCACCTGAGCTCAGGAGTTTGAGACCAGCCTGGGCAATATGGCAAAATGCTATCTCTACCAAAACAATTAGCCGAGCTCTGTGGCGCACACCTGTAGTCCCAGTTACTCAGGAGGCTGAGGCACGAGAATTGCTTGAACCTGGGAGTTCAGGGCTGTAGTGGTGAGCCCAGATAGCATCACTGCATTCCAGCCTGGGTGACAGAGTAAGTAAGGCTCTGTTTCCAAAAAAAAAAAAAAAAAAAAAAAAAAAAAATTAAAAAAAGACGGTAAACTTTTTGTATATATTTTTTAACCAGTTTATAAAACAGTTAGTATAAGTTCAGTGACTTGCATTTGGAATGTAAGTTTCCATTTTCAGTTTTGACTGATTTGTGCCATTGAGCAAAGTCTTTCATCCTTGTGTGTGTGGGAATGGTCCTCAAAGTCATCTGTTAACGAAGATGGTTTTAATGTCTGTAATAAAGAGCTAGAGAACACACCAAGAGGAAAATAAGTAGGCATTTGCAGTTAATATTCTTGCAGGGATAGTAATCCTAATTATTGTTATTATTTTATTGGTTTGCTCTTGAAATTGATTTATTGATGAATAAGAAGATGCCAAAAAATATTTCTGTGGTAAGTGAAACAGCACTTTCAAGGTCATTTGACTATTTTTGTTACTGTGTTCATTGCCAGGTGGGAAGGAGTATCTATCAGGATTGAGAAACTACGAAGCTGGTGTGAAGGAACATGACATTTTTCTGTCTAGTATTGATGAATAAGATTGAACTCTGTAACTTACATGCAAATTTAATTTCTCTTGAAAGAAGAAAGCGAGCCAATTTTGGTGTGGTTCTAAAAGAAAATTTATTGCGTAAGGTGAATTCAGTAAAATTATGATACCTGCCAATGTGTCTACTGAGAGTCTTGTCTGTTCTTAAAGTGAAGTAAATTGACTGTGTTTTTAGTATTACAGTCAATGTCATATAATATTTCTGGTCATGATTAAAAGCGGCTGTATTTTATTACTAAAAAGACTAAAGGAAGCATTTAAAGTACAGAAATATACATTTTTAAAATTACAAAATGTAT